TACAGTTAACTTCATTATAGACATGTAAATATAGATATAGTCACAGATATAGTCTTAGATATAGTTTCCTCATATAGTTTTCTCATTTAACTGAACTGATTCCGTTGTAAGATCTTGTAGATTGGTCATTGAATACGATTGGTCATTAATCACCTAAATTATCTTTTTTTGCTTAATCGTCAATTTTAAAAATCAGTCAATCAATTATCTAATTTTGAACACGTTATTGTTAACATTTGAGTTATTGTTATCTGCCTCTGTTATTGTTATCATTTGAGTTTTGTATCAGAAACTGTTCTATAACTGTTGTCGAATTCTATATATGATGAGCAAAATTGAACACATAGATTTTTAATATTAATACTATTTTATTGAGTGCAGAATACAAAAAGAGCAAAATATACTGTTTCGTAGGATGTTTAGGTTTTTATGATCTTGTTACCATCACTATTCTGACAAATATGAATTGTTTTTGTGGAGTCAGTTTTGCACTACAGTTTTGCACTTTGCATTAATTTTAATAAGAAACTGTTAAAAAAAGATCATATAACAATTTACTTATGTAGTCTCATTTTAAAACGTAAAGCTTCTGTTTTCACTGTGAATTCATGTTAAAGAAAGTCACGACTGGTGTCGATCCTGTTCTTCTGCATACATATTCACTTGAGGAAAGACCACCCACTGATATAAGAATGATGAATATGATCGATCCTGCATGGAATTTGTGTGTAATAAGCCTGATGGCTCGATTCTTGCTTGAATCAAGGGTGTTTTATAACGATGTCGTTCCCTCTTTGGACTGGCGATATACAAGGTGAACGGCAAATAGAGTCGTGAATAACTCTTGAACTGAACTTCTGATCTGACTTTCTTTGTGATCTAACGATCCTAAGCTGACTCAAAAAATTATTTTTTTTTTATTGCTTGTGGTTGTTGATTTAATTGCAGAGCCTGGGTTTGGTGATCCTTTAACTTGCATAAAAAGACGTATTTGTTGGGTGGATGCTTTTCGGGAGAAGTAGTGTGATTGCGTGTTACTAGGTAAGCAGGAAAAATTTCAAAAATCCTGCATATTTTTATTAGTTTCTATTTTGGGTTTTGATCTTGTTCGAATTTTATGTAATAGCGTGTTTAGATAACTTTCTCTTGATTTTAGTTGTTATTGACGATGTAGGTTCCTATTTGACTGATGAGTGAGTTTTGATGCTCTGTGATAAGCGGTTTCAGGTGAATTTACAATGTAGTCCTGAATTGTTTGGATATTCACTATTGCGTGCAGTACGCGGATGGGTCATACGATTTGTTGAGAATGATTCATAGAAATTTATTTTGGATTCTTTGAATTTTATTAATGTGTGCTGCAGCCCAGATTTGATGACCGTATGTTATTAATGGCCTAACGCACATTTTATATAGGGTTAATTTGAGATTGTTGTTTCTGTGGAGTAGCCGCTATAACCTTCTGAGTGCAGGGAAAGCTAGATTTACACGTTTGGTGGTCGCTGAGGCTCAGGTGACTAGCGTCTAGTAGTACACCAAGATACTTTTTTTACCGTGGAGGACTAAGGGATGTTGAATCTTGCGATCGAAATTTGATTTGTAGGTTTGGATCTCTTATTTGTGAAGGTAATGGCTTGCGTTTTGATTGGGTAGATTTTTAGTTTCCAATTTGTGAAGTAATCTCGGAGTTGATCAAGGTGTGTTTGAATGTACTTGATAGCGTTTTTGTGACTACATGATGAGGCAAAGATGGGGGTGTCGTCTGCATAGACCGCTAAGTAATTTTGAGTGCGTGGAATGTCGTTTATGTAAATTATGAATAGCAGGAAACTGAGTATGAAAACTTGCGGTACTCCCGCAGTGACGCTTTTGATGGTTGACGAAATACCGTTTGCTGAGACATAGAAGGACCTGTTTTGCAGGTAACTGGTTATCAGTCTGAAGAGAGGATCATAATTATGTGCTTTATCCGTTGAGGAGTGCAATTTAAGCTGTTATTATCCATGGGAGGGTGGTAATGTTGCAAGTCTTTCGATATCGTACTCGATTGGAGAAGCTGTGTTCTGCATTTTTTTGAAGTATATAGCCAGGCTTTCGGATTTTTCTTCGTTTGTGTAATGGGGCGTAGAGCTTTGGAGTATATATCCGGGTTTTTTCCGAGCCTGGGATCTTGAAAATCTGCCAAAGTGTACATTCCGTCTTCTTGATTTTTGCAAGCTCATCATGCCATATTTGGTTTCGGGTTTCCGCGATGTGCGGATGAGGTTGAGAGCATGTTTCTGTGTAGCTTATGGAAAAGGTTGTCTTTCCGCCGTGTTTATTTCTTTTCTTGATGAGGATTTGATGAAGAGAATAAAGTTTACGAAAGAGGGTTGATCATTTGGAGTTTGCGTTTTAAAAAAATCTTTGGATTGACCGGATGAGTGCTTTAATTTTGTTATCGATGTCAATTGTGGTTGTTAATTTTTGGTTTATTTTAAATCTACTGCAGTTTTTGGCGAATGTGTTTGTGCGGTTCGGTCTTGCGTTGTTTTGTGTTGTGTATAAGAGTGCCACAGGTAGGTGATTTGATGAGAAATAGTCTAGTGTGGCAATTTTATTGGGGACATTTGACAGGAAAATGTCAATATTGGAGGGGGTGCAGTTTGGTTTCCTATAGGTGTAAGTGAAACTGTGATTTAATAACTGTGTAATTCGGAATGATTTTTGAGAATGAAATCTTTTGTTTCTTTTGGTGCTGTTCCATAGGGTGTGCTTGGCGTTGAAGTCACCGCCGATAATGTAAAGTCCTGCGGCAGTACGATAGGAGTCTAGAAAGACAGGGTTTATTTTGATTTGGGGAGGGGAAGTATGTTGCTCCAACTATTAGTTGTGGTTTTGATCTTGATGGTAAATATTTCTATATTTGAGATTGCGGTGCGTCTTCCGTAGGATTGTTATTATGTACAGTTATTAATCCGCCTCTTGGTTTGTTTGGGTATTTTGAAAGTGTCTTTCGAGCTGAGCCAAAATTTCGGTGACATTTGCAATGTCTGCATGATCTATTAAAAATCTATTAAAAATTTGTGAAGTTTTGATATCTATTTTTTTAACTAGTGGCGTTCCATAAAATGATATTGATGAGGTTTTTATGGCTGCTCATTATCTCGTTCTTTCACTATAAGTATTGTTGCTCGGACTCTTTCCAAGTTGTTTGTACATTTCGTATAATATTTCTGAAAGAGCGATATAATTTTTAAGAACTGGTCCAGATCTATTGCTTTAATATCGTCTATTTGATCTGATAGTTTTGGGTTGAGAGGCTGTTCAATTTGCTGAGACTGTTGGGATACTTGAGGTGATATCATTCTTGCGTCTGATATTTCTTGTTTTGTTTTGTGGATTGCCTGAGCCAGAGTGGGAGGTGATGGGGATTTTGTTAGGGATAAGGCGGAGGAAGCTCTGTTCTGGGAGGTGCATGTTTGAAAAAGAGTTTTGGACATAATGGATTTTTTCTTTTCGTCAGAAAGGCAATAATGCAAGGCATTGGGAGTAATTTGCCGAGTGAGCGCATTTGCAGTTGGCGCATGTTGGAGAAGTTTCTGAAGTTTTGCTGCAGGATCTGGTGTCATCATGTCCGGCATATTTGGCACACACTGGTTTCTTGTTGCAGTTTGACGACGTGTGACCATGTGCCTGGCAACGGAATCGCTTATAGGATTCATATTTTTCCGAATATATTTTGATACTCTTAATGAATTTAACACGATTTATTTGTGCAAGTGTAGTTCCTAGCACGACTCTATATATGGAGTATTTGGTGTGGGTCGGTATTTCGTCGGTATTGTATGAGATTTAGACCCTGTCATTTAATGTTTTCACTTATTCTTATTAGCGGAATTCAGATCAAGCCTTTGAGGCCTACGGTTAATGTGTAGCAGCTAGCATATGCCGAAGAAAGTCAATTTCTTAACGGTAAAGTTAGGAGGATTTAGAACTCACGCGTCGTTCACGCTATCGAATTGCGAAGGCCAAGCTTTAGGGATGCGTAGACAATCGTCCGCAACCAAATAGCAGTGAAAAGGCTAGAATAGCATTCACAAGCGTCGTAAATCCTAGATTTCCAAGGGCCCTCACGCAGACCAAAAAGTCTGAGAATTACCGACGAAAGTAATAAAGTAAGACCCATGCTGCATTACCAACAATGAAGATCGTCCTCGACGGATTACAGCCGCATCCCGGAGAAAATGCATTACGAGCGCGGAGAATAGGCAGTGCAATCCAAGACAACCTAATTGGTTAAAGCCTGGAAACATCTTGGAATGTTCAGGACAAGAACCGAGGTTTCTTGAGAGCTTCGAGGAGAGCAAGAGATCAGATTTTCGCTGGTCCGAAGCTTGAAAGGTTAAGCCAAAAATCGGTTCACGAGTGCAAGCGTAAATAAAAGAATTGTACAGAGTGACGATCATTCCTGCACCCCCCTTCATAATGTTTCTCGGAAGTGACCGTATACGTATGAAATTGTTTTCATTGATATTTTATGTTTGTAAACATTATTTTAAGTCTGACGTGAATTTGGCTTGGAAAGCATTCTGGTATTTTGATTTAAGTGCATCAAGGAATTTTAGATGGTTTATTTTACCATGAATGTATATTGGCGGTGGTTTGACTTTTTGAGGTTTTTTAGAAGGTTTAAATTAGTTGTGGTGTTCGTGTTTGGAATGTCGTTTTGTGATTCCGTATTTTGGGGGCCTAAGTCTAGTTCATTGATGACACAATCAACGAAGACGCTGTAGACCTGTTTTTAGTAGGGATGACTGGGGTGATGTGTTCCATATCCTTCTGCGAGAGAAGGTGAATCTGATAAGAATGTGGCCTTTTTTCTTGAAATACTAACCTTAAGTTCTTCTGTGGCATTTTTCTTAGCCAACGTTTACGTGTATACCTTGCCTGCAGGTGCGCAGTCCAGGTTTGCTATTGCAGCTTTGTTGTTCGTGGTCTGATATGATTTCTTCTTCGTGCGTGGAGGTTTTGATTCTCACTTGGAGTCTTTGTTTGATTTTTTATTACACACACACTTGTTCACTGATCACTGAGATTGTGAATAAGAAGGCTTGCTCAAGGCTTTCTTGTTCTGGTTGAGATTGCTCGGAAAGTCACTATGTGATCCTAACTATGTTCTAATTCGTATCGGCCTTATATATATAAGGTCAATTTTATTGTGTCTTTCTCGATCACATGATTAAGAAGGTAATATATTTTGGGCCAAGAGGTAGGTCAAGGTCAGTCCCATAAAGCAATTGCGAGAATTACTTTCTGAGCCTACTGTCCAAGAATGTGTCCCTCGCGTTTTATACGTCCTTGACTGTAGGGCGAGTGTTAAAGGGACGCATTTCCTAGATCCACCCTTAGCTTTAACTCGTTTTTTTTTTCAAGATATTTTAGTAGTACCAAATAAAAAAGTTTTTCTCTTTAAAAAAAATTATAAAAATTCACATATGTAAACATATTGAAAAATTTGAATTTTATTTATGACTGTATTCATTACAATCTTGAAGATTAAAATTTTTCATTTAGAACAAGCCCTTAAAACTTGCTGTACGATCGTTTTTCGTCATTTTATTGAACTTTGAACATTAGAATTAAACAACAAAAATTCAAAAAATGCTAACATTTTATTATCTGGCCTTAATATTTAAAGTTCAATAAAATTGCAAAAAAAAATCAGTAAGTCAAATTTTAAAGAATTGTTATAAAGAAAAAATTT